TTGGCCTGATTCCCAGCCACTGGACATTCATGATCATGTGGACATTGATCTGATGCGGGGATGACAGTTTAAGTGGTATAGGCACATTGAGGCACATTGATCGTGTATATATCTTGCTCTTCTGGTGTCGCAAAGATTTGACCTCTTCGAGTATGATGGTATAGCAGCTGACCTAGTCCTAATGTGCGTGACACATTGATTTCGTGAACCGGTGAGATACCGATACTTTTTTGTAGCTTTAACTTGAAATTTTTTCCGTATTCTTTCCAGTTTTCTTTTTCTGGCTGCTGTTTTGTGTACAATCTATGATTGGCTCCAAAAAAAGTTTGTGCTTCTGTGTTTTATATAGCCGGATCCTATGAATGGACCGATGCTTATTACCTAACATGAACGTCAACCTCCTAAGAGCAGGGAATTTGAAACATTTCGAATTCTGTTTCTGAGCTGTCTGCTAGGGAAAAAGGACTGAACAGAGCATTTTGAGGCTCGGCTTGAGCCTGCCCAATTGGCCCCTTTGTGGCCTAGAGATTGGTTGTAGATCTACAAGTTGTGCTCTGTATTCTGTTGCTTGAAATGACAGCTGAAATAATATGCAGGCAAAAGTAGTGAGCAATTGGCATCTCTCTTCAAATAACGACCATCACTTTTCACTGCCTTAATTCTAGGAAAACATCCTTAATGGTGGGAAAGTTAAAAACTTGGTTGTAGTATCTTTACAGCTTGAAGTTGCGGCGAAGAAGTTTTGATCGTGAAGATGGGAGGACCTCCGTTGGTTTATTGGGTACTTGATGTTGGATCGTCTTCACCCAAAAATCATAGGCTTTCGGGAAGCTATGCTAACATGTAACTTGACTTTGACAAATCTCAAATTCGTAAATGCAGACAAGAGAATGCTTTAATTAAACAGGTTTTCAGATATTCTTTACCACAAGGTCCCATCATAATTATCTTCCTAGACTAGGACTTGCTCAATGAAGGTCAATTCTCCTCTCAAATAAGGGTAGACCCCATTCCATTTACTTGAATCCATTAAAAACTGAGTTTGCCAGCATTGCTTTCAAAAAAAAAAAATGCCATTGTCTCAGGCAACTTTAGTCCATCTCCTCATGGCTGATCTGTGATTGCGTTTGCTTCAAAATATACTCTAAATTGAATTGGAATAACTTCGATAATCACCGTGAAATGCTACTGATTTTCCATAGGTTACACGCATGCCGTGTAAAGATGGGTTTTGCGTTCCTAAATTGCTGGCATGGAGTTCCCTAAGAATCTTGGTTAATTTGAGTTGAGTTAACCGAGTATGTCCACCAAAGAAGTTCATCAAATAAAGCCGAACGCTAGGGTTGATGCACTGTGAAATCACCAACAGTTCTCGTAACCCTTCTGTTATTAGCTTGCTGTAATTTATCTTGTATTCAATTCTTACCCGGCCAATTCTATTGTTTATTGCTGAACTTAATAAAAGACGAAGATCACGTAATTCTGTATATCCATAGTAAAAGACAGCTATTAACCATCTGATCTCTATATAAAGTCTGCCACAATCATCACACATTTACACCGAACCATTGTTATTGCCATACACGTTAGAGAGGAAATTCGAACGCATTAAAGATGAAGAAACAAGTTGGTTCATGCTCTCTCGTTCTCATTCTCATTCTCATTCTATACCTCAGTTCAGCCTATCCAAGTGTTGAAGCTCAGTCTTGCTAGCCAAGTGGAAGAATTACAGGACGAAAGCTGCCTTAAGGACAATGCGACACGGAAAATGACTCTGATTGTTGCAAGAAGGCCAATTCTATACTACCCACAAGTGTTCGCCTTAACCCTCAACAGCTTTGAGAAGGGCGGCGATGGCGGAGCACCGTCCGAGTGCAACAATAAGTTCCACTTGGATGACACCCTGGTGGTAGCCTTATCAATGGGGTGGTTCAACCACCAGAGCAGGTGCTTGAAGTATATTACCATTTATGCAAATGGAAGGAGTGTCAATGCCATGGTGGTTGATGAGTGGGACTCAACAATGGGTTGCGACTCCGACCACGATTTACTACCATGCCCTAATAACATTGTTGATGCCTCTAAAGCTGTTTGGAAGGCTTGCGGAGTGCCACAAAACGACTGGGGCGAACTTGATATTTCCTGGTCCGACGCATGAGTGCCAGTTACAAAATTATTTAACAATGACATATAGAAGCCTCTTGTGGTCAACTACACATCAAGGCATCTCGGAGATGATTCCGGGGTTGTGTTAACATATACTAGATGTTTCCTTGTTTCCGTTTTCAACTGAAAGCTAGTGATGTCCTCGGTCTGAGACTTCAACCAAAAGAAAAAGTGAAACTGTTATGACCTATCACTACTTTAAGTTAATCTTTTGATCCACACACATGATTGTCTTTGGAAATTCAGTGGTGAAATCTGCGATGAGCTTGTTAAGGCAGCCTCTCCATCCGTTTCAGTGAACATGTAAGAGTGCTAAATCTGTGAGCAAACATAAAAGAGTCAAGATAATTGGAATATTCTTCAGATTCAAACAGGCAGCCAAAAATAAGGATCTATGAAGAACGTGAGAAGAATTATGCATGCGATTCTAGGTAGCAACTGATGGGTACAACAGCAACAAGAAGTATTGGGCCAGATTTTGGCAACGTGAGAGTTCATTCTCACACTTGGAGATAAGGAAAATATAACTCGTGGTGCTAATTTTATAGGAATCTAGTGGTAGGCAGCAACTGATGGGTACAACAGCAAGTATTGGGCCAGATTTTGGCAGCGTGAGAGTTCATTGTCACACTTGGAGATAAGGAAAATAACTCGCGGTGCTAATTTGTTAGCGGCTTAAAACCACTTAATGAATTATCAGTAGCATTTAGACTCAGATAATCACATAACTTGAGACTATATAAAAGAAATATCAAAATATATTGGTCTAGGAGTTCTCTCCAGACTGAAATTGTAGGAAAACTTTTCTCACGAATGATAGTATGCCTTGTCAATCTGAATTGCCAGGTATTTGAAGTTGTTTGATCATCCAAAACAGCACAAACAATTATTATGCACTGTCAAGCCGTAGTAGTCTAAGTACTACCTTACCTCAAGAAAGCTTGAAAAAAGTCACTCTCATCATCTAAATAAATGAAAGAGGATGACAGTGGAAGGCCTTAAGGCGTACTCAATAAGGTTCTCAACATCCTTGTTTGTTTCTGTACCCTCAATTCAAGACCACAAAGGTAAGTTTCACCCTCATGGCATGACTATCCTCCTTGGCTAATACAGTCATCTGTCCATCTGAGGTCATTTGTCCATTGACACAATTCCAGATTGTTTTGTTTATATTCTTCAGCTACCAGCACAGTATGTTAGAGTAATTAAATATTAAACCATGACTTCATCTAACGGCTTAAGCTTTTAGAACAGTTGGCTGTGGTCCCACAAAATTTCACATGATATTAGAGCAAGAGGTCCCAAGTTTAATTCTTTCCGGACCCCTATTTGCTTTCCCAATTATATATTGTTACGCCTAGGCTTAGGCTAAAGTCCAGCCTATCCGTGAGGGAGCTTTGATAAAATACACGCAGATCAAGTCTAAGAAGCAGTAATTAGATGGCCTGGCTGCGGGGATGAGTTCTTTTCCCTTCCAAATCAATTTGCATTCTCTTTCTCACTGCATGTTAGAGTAATAATGTTCTGGTTTCACCGGATGATGTACCTTGAGAAAATTTCACTGGCAACCTTTCATTTGCTGAAGGATAGGTGAAGGTTGCAGACTTCATAGGATTACGGATTTACTGGTCGGTCACTGTTCTATGCTTTGAATAGACACAGTTTCATCAATTTTAGCGATACAACAGGATTATAAAGTTTAATCGAAGTGCAGGAAAGAAACATTATCGTGTAATTTCAGAGAGGAGAAACTGAGTGTAGAGTGTCTGCACACTTGCTTGCATCTCCTTCAATGCGCTAAATGAATAGTTTGAGCCTTGATGAAGAAATATCGGTGTGTCTGCAATTGATGGATGCGCTATCAAGGCCATAGTCTACTTCACAAATTCATAAAAGGGGACAGAGTTTGCCGTGACAGGATCCTAAACTACACATACTTTTTTTTTGTTTGTATTCTTAAAAGTCAACTTCATAAATCATATCCAACGAAGTTGCATCTTTGGTTTTTGTTTTCAGCTGTAATCTTCTTCTAGATGATCTTTGGAGGGATACAGAAACCAAAAAATTCGTTTCTTGTTACCTTTTTTCAAGAAATGACAATGTCACGGTATCAGGACTTGTCTTGCTCTGGCATTGTATCTTCGTGATTGATGCTGCGGAAGATTTGTGGTTCGACGTCTTTGTTGTTTCTCATTGGTTCGAAGATGCTCTCAGATAAGATAAGCAAGGAAAGGAGGCAGAATCTTCACAATCACAATAACCTTGATGCTGTAGGCTTCAGAATCAAAGCAAAAAGGTCTTTTACTTCATATTCAGAAAATTCACACTCACTCTCCTGTACCAAAACCATTTGATGAAGAACCAAGACAAATTGTCTTAACAGAAAATTTACCCCATTGAAGCCAATCCCATACAAAGTAAATTGAGACAAACGTATCTTGTTCACAGTTATATTGAGCTCGCTTCTCTTATATGCACGTCAAGACTTGTCTTGCATTTCGAAAATGCTGCTATAAAATTCCAATAAAGAATCAAGAATCAAGAATCTTTTAACCGAGTAAACCAAGGGCATCCAGCAAAGATTAAACAGGCCGATTGATTATAAAGTCAGAACTAAGGAGCATGGTGAAATCATCAAGAATCTGTTGTTTATACGGTCTTGTCTCTACTTTGTATACATTATTGATTTTTTTTTTCGTCTGCCTAGTTTCTGTACATAATGTTGTTAATTTATGCTTTATTAAATGACAGTATCTCATTATTTTGTCTTGTCATAGGTAAAGACGGCTATTTAAGCGATTCGATCTCTATATAAAGTCCATCAACGTAACATCACCTTCACTTGAATCAATTGCCAACTACGATTCAGTGTAGAGGAAACATAACATGTTGAAGATGAAGAAACAAGCTCTTTCGAGTTTTCTCATTCTTGCACTCATTCTATTTATTGGTTCAACTTGTCCAGATGTTGAAGCTCAATCTTGCAAGCCCAGCCGGAGAATAAAGGGGAGAAAGCTGCCTCCAAAACAATGCAACCAGGAGAATCAATCCGAATGTTGCAAAGAAGGCGTTTTTTACACGACCTTCAAGTGTTCGCCGCCCGTTTCACATCAAACAAAAGCTACTCTAACCATCAACAGCTTCGAGAAGGGCGGGGATGGGGGTGGGCCATCCGAATGTGACAACAAGTTCCACTCGGACAACACCCCGGTGGTGGCGCTATCGACTGGGTGGTTCAACCACCGGAGCAGGTGCTTGAAGAATATTACCATCTATGGTAACGGGAGGAAGGTCAACGCCATGGGTGTGGATGAGTGTGACTCCACCATGGGCTGTGATTCTGACCATGATTTCCAACCTCCATGTCCCAATCACATTGAGGATGCCTCTAAAGCTGTTTGGGAGGCTCTGGGAGTGCCAACCCATGTGGGTGAGCTTGATATTCACTGGTCGGATGCCTGAGTGCCACTTGAAAGGGCATTGAATATATGCCATGCAAAGGCTTTATGATCTATCCATCCGGTGAATAGTGAAGTGATAGTATACCTTTTATTTCCTTTCATATTTCCCCGTTCTGGGTTTTACGCAAAACTCAGATTGATGATTGAATAGTCTGAAGTGAAGAAGAAGAAAAGGTTAAAACTGTATGAGATATTACCATACAAAAAGTCCAAATGCTTGGTCCATATCGACTCATCCCCCTTTTTTCTTGTTTAAAATATCCATATATATTGGTCAGCTAAACATAACAATAAGAATATTACTATTTCTAGGCCTTGGAAGCCCTAAACTCTTTAAATTAGCATGTCTAGACAAGCAGAAAACAGGCTACTTTTGAAAGAGCTAAATATTCTGCAGAAAGAAAGACGAAAGCATGGGAGAATAACTGTGGCGAAAACGAGCGATTGAATGAAAAAATAAACAAAATGAGAAAATAAATTGGACATTAGTGATTCAGTCAATTTGACCACAAGGAGAGCAGCATAGGATTCGATTTTAATCAAACGATACGATGAGCAGTTTCTTAATTATTGGCTCAGAAACATTTTTAATTTCTTCATAATATTCATGAATACGCTGCACAAATAAATGTTACGGCCGAAAGCTCCTCTGCTCACTAATGGTTAAAGCCCAAAATCCAATTGTAATATTTGGATCAACACTAGGAAACCTCCTTTAGCCAACTCATACTAGGTAACCTATTCAAACTAGGAATGCAACACCTATGTAACAATTTCTTGATTGTTAGGGTCAAACCAAAAAACCTATTTCAAATTTCAAATTTTTATTTGAATTAGGCTTTTTTCACGGGTTCAAACTCAAGACATGTATTCAACAATAACTAATAGTAACTATTTGTAATTGCCTTTAATATAACAAGTGAAATGAGATTCTAGTTATAAATATGTACTTTATAGTTCTCACGAAATGTACATAGATGATGTTTACATGCGAATTTCCGAATCAATAGCAATTCAAAAGTGTAGCTAGCCATTCAATAAGAAATTTTTAGAGGAAATAGTAAACTTCACATAAGTTGTAGCCGGGTCATACTTTCCTCAGTACAATTTCAATGCAGTCCTTCCTCTCCAGATCAGGAGCCTTCACTTCTTCCAGTAACTAGACGCTGTTTAAAGCCCGTCGTTTGAACATATCTCCAATTTTCTAGGACATGAAATCAGCAGTCATAGCGGCGACAAAATGATGACCATCAGTCTATGAATGCATTTCTTCAGTGGGAATGGATGAACTGTTCGCTTACGTGGTTTCTGCTTCCTCTGCTGTTCCTCATAGTTACATCTTCCTCTGCTGTTTTTAGCCCTTCACTTTGTTTTATCAGGTTAGTTAAAAGAATATCGATGGAGGCGCATAATCTTCGTGCAACGACTCTTCTGCTGTAAAACATGATTTTGGTCCTCTAACTATCATTTACCTGAAAAAATTGCTTTTGATGATCCAAACGTATTCAATGTGCAAAATATTAATAAAGCATTTGCCGATGAACCCCGCCAAGGTAAAAGGACCTTGAGAAGGTCTTACTTCTAGCTAGGCACAAAGCTGAGTTCAAGTAAGAGGATGTAATTTGCATCAAGTCGCCTGGTGAAAAGCATCTCACGGTTAAGTTCTTGTTGTTCTCTTATATATGGAATTGATGAATTATATCCAACAAAAATTGCACCTTCAGTTCTGACTTAATGTCACACCCCGACTTACAAGAACAGGGGCAATGATACGGCTATCCTCCTATAAGTAGGATGCAACTTTTAACATAACCAATGTTAACCTGTAATGAGAATGTATATCTCCATCTATATCTATATATTTTTGTTTCGCCGGAAATACTCCTGCAACGAAATGTAATTCACCAAGCGTCGTTTTTCAATTTTTAATGAGAGGAAACCGGGTACTGTGGCGACTCCAGGCATGAGATATTCAAGCGAGAACAAAGAACTTGTTTGCCTCAATCAAGTAGTATGAGTTCAGGTCATGACAAGATTCGATCTGCAAGAACTTCAAATTTCATAACCAATTCGAACAAATTTGACCAGCCTCTCACCGGCAGCGTTTGAACTTCATCGATATAGTGTTACACAACTACTAGGCTTGAAACATAGATAACTACAATTAAGGAAATTGAAAGTACATTGCAGAAAATTAAAGATAACAAGACAACAATTTGATTGTGTGTTTGAAGGGTTTTTTGCTAGCTGTTGGATGGTATTTATACTGTGAGTATGATAACCGTCCTCTAATGCATCTGCCGGTTTATATCGGATAACTGCCGTTGATCTTATCTTTGCCGTTTGTTCTTATGACACTTGTCAAATAACCACCATCGATCTCATTTTATCTTTTATCTCTCTGACATCTGTCAATTTATCTCAAGTAATTGCTGTTTGTCATTGTCTTTGCTTTGACACCTGTCTTTCTATGTATGACAACCGTCGCCAATCCGTCTTTGTCTCGACACCTGTCCCTTCCTATTTTTGTCTCGACACTTGTTCTTCTGGGTCAGGTAACTGCCATCAACCTCATTTTTGTCTCGACACCTATCCTTTTGGGTCAGGTAACTGCCATCGATCGTGTATAAAGTCACGTGTTCCTTTTCTTATCGATAGCTTCGGTGACCTGGTCTTTGCGTATTGACAGTTTCATCGATAATCTACATGACAAATTTTCAGGCGGCAACCGTTCCTTCTTCGATCTCAATCCTTTCAAATTTTCAAATACTCAAAATTTCCTGCCAGCATATTTTGATGATTGCCAGCTATCTGCTGTTGTCATTTCTACAACTAACCTATGGCTTACGTCATTTCTCATTGACGATGCATTTATCTTTGTTGTCCTGCATATCCCCTGATTTTAATTTTATTTTTACCGTCGGCAACCTAATTAATTATTGGTGTCAACAATTTTATAGAACAGGATAGGTAGTTTCTAAAATTCATAAAAAAACATATACTTTCACAAATTGAGAAATTAAGCCACAGCAAATACCATCTCAGACATGTACATGCTATGTAAACTCACACCCAAAATCCAACTCCCAGAACTTTCCACCGCTATCGCTCATCCTATCCGTCGCTAACTGATGAACCTGAAAAAGGGTTTAGAATGAATGGAGTGAACGACCACAACCCAATGAGTACTATATATCTCTTCTAAGCAATACCAAAATTTAATAACCCCAAATCCAGTATATATAATATACTCACAGTATCAAAAACGAGTTAAAGGATTTCAACAAAGATTTATGCATATTAAGAATACTCATTATATCAACAATATCAAATCACAAATCAATGGTCATTTCATCAATCAATCTCATGCTCAATATCTAATCACCCAGAACCGATCGGTCCAGGCAGTTCTTTTTGCTCACCTCTAGAGAATGAGAGATTAAAATGCTTGAGTGCGGCGTTGTTTTGTGATTACAGCCAACTGATCATCCATGTGAACTTTCTATTTTTATAGAAAAAGCCACCTAGATATTAATATTTAATCAAAAAAGTCATGTAATATTTTTTGTCAGAATTTGTCGTCGGAGATACTTAAGTGATCGTTTTTTATCCGATTTGGCACTTAAGTGAACCAGCGAAAACTTTTAGTATTAAAGTAAGTGCTGTATGAAAAATTTTGACGCTTTTAGTGTCTTTATGCCCAAATGGAAATGTTCATCCACGGGGCAAAAACTTTGGTTTGCTAGTACACAGTGAAATAATCGAGTATTTTGGACTCTTATCTTTGTCTCTAGTTTTCTCTTCTAATTGTCAGACTCCTTTGCCTTGTTTCCCAGCCTAATTCATTGTTGACAATGTTGAAATAACAAAAGACAAAGAACACATATTCGATGAATCTGTAGTAAATGACAGCCAACGTACGGATCCAATCTATATAGAAGGCCCACCAGAATCAAACGCCACCTTCACCAAACCATTGCCTAGTACATTTCCACTGATAGTAGATACACAAAAACTGAAGATGAAGAAACAAGTTTGCTCAAATATTTTCATTCTCATCGTTCTGTTTCTTGGTTCAAACCAAGCGGGAGGTTAAGGGGAAGAAAGCCTCCTCCAAAACAATGCAACCCTGAAAATAATTCCGAATGCTGCAAAGAAGGCCGTTTCTACACAACCTACAGGTGCTCGCCTCCCGTTTCCCATCGAACCAAAGCCACACTAACTCTCGACAGCTTTGAAAAAGGCGGTGATGGTGGTGGGCGATCCGAGTGTGATAAGAAGTACCATTCGGATAGTACTCCGGCGGTGGCTCTGTCGACAGGATGGTTGGACCACCAGCACAGGTGCTTCGAAAATATTACTATCTATGCTAACGGAAGAAGTGTCAAGGCCATGGTTGTGGATGAGGGTGACTCTACTAAGGGATGCGATCCTGCTCGCGACTACCAACCTCCGTGCCCCAACAACATTGTCGATGCCTCCAAAGCTGTGTGGAAGGCATTAGGAGTGCCAAGCAATGACTGGGGTGAGCTCGATATTTACTGGTCTGATGAATGAGTGCCATTATAGGAACCACTGGCCCTTTCGGGGTTCTTCACGTCCACGGTTTGCCAGAAGATGAAACCGTGCGTTTGTATCCATTTCAATCTCGTTTTCTTGTCTTGGTTTCACACAAACTCAGTTACTGTGGCTAATGCTTTTTTTTTTAAATCAAAATATCAAGTTTATGATCGTACTGTTGATGGAGTCTCATAGACAAAAAAAAAATGGTATACTGATTGGTGAACTGAAATGATTCACAAAGTTATGATTAAAGGGTCGAAAATCAAAAGCTCATCTCATTGAATAGCGACTTAAAAATCTAGAGGAGCTGAAAGGTGGAGGGGAAGAAATTGGTCTTCTAACAGAAGAAACTGTCGATCAGTATTCCCTCTTCTCCATCACCGTATCACTCGAAAAAAGGAGAGTTCACCTTTAGTTCTAGCTTTGTAGTTGTATCTGAAATGCCATTTTCTGAATACGTCGTTCTAATCAAGTTAAAAGAAAAGGAATATGTATGAAATTCCAATCCTTACTCTACAAAAACCAACCTCGCGATATGTTCATGAGATTGACTCGCTTGACGGTGTAGACTTAAAAGACAGGAAATGAGTCTTTCACAGCAAATATATTCAAGAATGCGTATCCACCTCCACCAAAAAATAACATGACGAGAAAAGAATGCCGGCAGGACTTGAGCCAAATTGGCCAGGAAGCAGGGGTTTAAATAGGTAGAATTTACATGGCATGAAGTCCCAGAGCAAAACACTACACCGCTCATCATTTAAGTATTTAGTTCATATCACCTATCTGCACCTATTTGAATTCAAATATGCTGCAACAAAACTTCCATAAGAATGCTGGCAGGAATTAAGCCAAATCGGCCAGGAAGCAGGGTTTAAATAGTACATGGCATAAAGTCCCAGAACAACACACCTATCCACACATATTTGAATTCTAACTAGCTGCAATAAAAGTTCCATAAGAATGAAGTTTCTTTACATTGAACTTACAAAGGACATCTAACAGGGGAATCAACCGTCGAGTTCATCGAATAAATCCAAGAGAAGGGTGAAGTAAGAGCACGGTGGAATCATCAGGAATTCTCTTTACTCTGATTTGTCTGTAGCTTGCTCTGATGATTAACTTAATGCATTTGCCTTGCTCCAAGCTCATTATTTTCTTAATTAACCGGAATTAGCAAAAGACTGAGCAATGGTTCTGTAAATTCACTGTAAAATACAGCTATTCACTGCTTCATCTCTATATAAAGCTTAACACCAAAGTGACTACTTCACACCAGACCATCAGTTTCACAACATGAAGAGAGGAATACATTGTCCATGAAAGACAAGCTTGTTTCAGTGCTATCACTGATCTTCTATTGCTCGGCTTCTCAAACTATACGAGTATTGAAGCTCAAACTTGCAAGTCAAGCTGCTAAAAAGGGGAAGAGAACCTCCTACAAGACATTGCGACATGGAGAATGACTCTTTGCTGCTTAGAAGGAAAATGTAACAATGTGTACAAGTGTTCGCCACCAATTTCCCATCGAACAAAAGCATAAATGTCAGTCTACAGCTTCGAGGAGGGTGGTGGTGATCCGGCTTCGTCTAAATGCGATGGTAAGTACTATCCGGAGAATTCACCGGAGGTGGTACCATCAACAGGGTGGTTTGAGCACCTAACACCGGAGCAGATGCTCGAAGAATAGTATTAACTATGCAAATGGAAGAAGCGGCAAGGCAAAGGTAGTGGATTAGTGACTCTACGGGCGGTTGTGAGACTGCTCACTTATCAGCCTCCATGTGGCGACAACATTGTCAAAGCCTCTAAAGTGGTTAGGAAGGTTCTGGAAGTGCCATTTAAGCGACAGGGGTGTGCTTGATATTTACTGTTTTAATGCATTAAGTGTGGTTGATGAACATATTGAAGAATGCCATGTAAAGGATTAGGATGTGCTCCCTAAAGTTGTGGTGGTGGTGGTATGGGTTTGATGAGTCCGTGCTTCCATTTCCATCTTGTTTCTGGGTTTCTGTTTTAATAAAAAGTAAACCAAAAGACAACAATAAAGAGAACCATGAGAGAGTGCTGTGCTCGGTCTAATTTATGTCAACTTAATGGTTTTCAACTACTAAATAGAAGAGTACTCTCATAATCTTATCCGCCTTTTGCTCTTCTACTGGCTATTAAGACAATGGGGTGCTGTAACTGAGAATGAAACTAGGACGTAGGAAATGAATGTTAATACCCTCTCATAGAAAGTGAGTTGAACCTAGAAAACAAAAGGAAAGAATGATGCTATTTCAATTTCCATGACATTTTGGCATTCACTTAAATTAAGTATAATGTCAGATAAATCATCGGGAATCAAATTATCCCACTTCATTCACTAATCCAACTCCTCTGTTTCCTTGGTCAAGTAGATAAAAATGAACTTCTTCCAGGGTCGAGCCCTTGGATCCAGAAAATAAATGTAAGTTCGGCCATTTTCGATCAACAGAGCAAAGTATAGGAGATCAGAGAAAGCGGAAGACTTCTTCAAGGGATGAAATATGAACACATTATAATTGACTTGTTTGCAACAATGCCAGTATAAGATTACAGAGCTAGAATAAGCAAACAAGAATTCACAGAAACACAAGAAACACTTACACAGTACTGCATAATTTTGTACGAAAAACTGAGCAGAACAGTAGTCCCAATGAAGGAAAAGACCTCGAGAGTCCAAAACCAAACTTCTATTTACAACATACTGTCTGTCTGAGCAGGCAGTCGCTTGAAGAAATTGATAGGCGCAGAGGGCACCTTATGTCGTAACCTAGGGTGCCTCATGACATAAGCCCCGACAAAAATAGCCACAACCTGGAAAGGTGTTGCATACAACACGATTGCTGCCACGAGACAAAATAGTATGAAGATGACTGTGGCGCGAGGGTCACGCCAGCTCAACAGTGCTTGGATTCGCTCGCCTTGGCTTGCAAGATCACCTACCACGGTCTGAACCTTTCCTGCGACACTCCTCAAACGATCATAGCGGTATCGAACTGCTGCCGGGCTTCGAGTGGTCGGAAACGTGTCAAATTCTTCATCAAGCTCATCTGGATGAACAGCATCCGCATAAGATATTCTCGTGTTCATATGAGGGGGATGTCTAGGCCGATACCGGTAATTCCAAAGACCTATTATGAACATATACAAGAAAGCAGTTGGCAAGATCAACTCTGGAAACAGCACGAGCATCCCAAAGAGAATATGCACAAGGATGGTAGTCACAGGGTTTTTCCATTTGCACACCTCCCCAAACCATTTTCCAAAAGCAAATAATCCTGCGAAAACTGACATCAGCCTGAAAAAGTTCGCCTTGCTCCGCCTCATGCTCCATAAATGAGAGTGTGCATCAGACATGTATTCAACTACTTCCCTCTTGAGGGGAGGCTCGGCCCGACTGAGACGAGCCGCCACCAAGTTGACCGCCTGGTGACGCAATAAGTCCAGCTGCATTGGGGTCAACGGCCTTATGTAGTGCATCTTCGGTAGAAGTGGCCGAGAGTAGATGTACATCATATTCAATAGTGACGTGCATGAAAATCTTATTGCCAAGTGTAACTCACCCATCTTTTTTACCCCAGAAGAGTGAAGTGCTAGAAGCGGATAGGAGTGTGTATACACACGACCAGTCTCAAGAGTAGATAGCCGAATCCGAATCTTCCCGATCTTAACATCTTTGTTACTGCTTGAGCCTCCATTTATCTGACTATTGTCGAAAACTCCCACAACTAGAACAGTTGCTGTATCATAAACTTCCCATGTGTACTGCTCATTGTATTTGGGACTCAGGCTGTTGATTATGGTCCTAGTTCGCACCCACTTTTGGCCGTACTTTGCTACACAGTAAGTGTCTGATGTACCCTTACCATCTTTCGTCTTCATCGGGTGGAGTCCCTCGGCATTGAGAATCCCAAGTTCCAAGACCCCTATGGAATTCTTCCACAGCGGCTTTGCGGTCGGTCTGAGGTCAGTGCAGTAATTTGTGGACTCATCAAGCACATGATACCCTCCTTCAAGGCAGACTTGCAGATGCAATCTGCTGTAGAACTTGTCCTTCTTTCCTGCATCCGCATCCATGGCAGCCGATGTTGACTTTGAAAGGTTGAACCAGCGGCTACGCACCATTTTGTCATCAGCACGCCTGTGAACTTCGCTCAGTGGTACAATAACTTTCCCAATAGTTTCCTCCTTATCGGAAGCTAAACGGTCTTCAACTGAAAGAATCAAATGATCTTCAAAGGGCTCAGCAGTGACAAACAGCATTTCCTCTCTCCATACAGGATTCATATTCCGAGCCTGAACCGGTTTTGTCCTGAACACCTGATTACCTATCTGTACCTTAACATATGCATCAGGGAACCGGCCCTTGTCCGACACGAGCAGATCTTGCGCCTCAAGTACGACAACACGAACGTACCACAATTTAGGTGAGTGGTAGACCTTGCCACGAGTATGCCCATAGATAGCTGAAGATGGATCAGTTGCCGAAGTAGCATCTGAGTGCCAAGCATCAGGAAAAGCTTCATCTGCCTGTGTACCATACCAAACAGCGAGCATCAGTTCCCCTTTCTTCTTCTTCTCCCCATTCATCTCTTCAAGCCTATACCATTCAGGAGCCAACGGGCTGTCAGGTGGAACTCTAGTGGGAATCTCATAAAGGTCCAAGCGAACCAAACCCACAAAGTCATCCATTACAAGATCTTTGTCCATGACCACAACCTCGAGCACAGATGTCTGAACCTGGTCCTTTGCAAACGCAAACACCTCATTCCACTCTGGGTTTTGCTTCTTTTCAAAATACTTTGTTGTTCCTTTATAGTTCCCCACTCTAACTTCCACATACGGATCGAGGCTTCCTGTTAAGTCCTTAGCAGGAAGATCACGGGCTTTTACGACTCGAACAAAGAGGTATTGCATCTTTTCAACAAGATCATAGGTATTGTTCGGCCTCTCAGCAGGTATTACTCGCCCTCCAACAATTCGGCCACCGCCAAGATAGGGGCTTGTTTCTTTCACAGAATACTCCCCCGGTTGCATAGGCAAGGGGCCCGCATAAGTGTGGACTATATTTGGAGGCTGTGGTCCGGATCTCATCTCGTAAGACCCCGACTTTGGTTTTGGTAGGGGAGCTTCAGCAGATGCGTCGTCATTTTGATTTCGGCGGTCCGAGTTTGGAAGGTGACGGAAAGTCCGCCTTGACTCGGCCCTTGACTCGGCTCTTTCATCAGAGAAAGGATTTAGAATTGGTTCGGCTGAACGTGGGTTGACATTCATGGCGGATTGCATTGTATGCAGTGGATTTGATGAGGTCATGTAATGATCATCTGTTATGAAAACTTTCAAACCGAGCTCTCCCTGCACCCGTGACCAAATTCTTTGTTTTTCAAGGGGGTAATGGAGGACAACAGCATCCGAGTATGGCACGAACGATGTCCCAGTGAGGGAGACTTTTCCAAGGGAGGACTTCTTGTCGGTGGCTTTATTGAGGTTGTAGACATGGGCATGAAGGGTAAGGTCGCGAAGGTTGCTAGGGTTGGTGATGTTGAAGTAGAAGCTTTCATTCCAGACTGGACTGAGATCTTTCTCTTTCATAGTGGTGCGAAATTTTTGACCCTCAAACTGGAGCTCCACATAAACACCCGAAGAATCTTGCCCATCTTTGGGAACAAGGTCATGCGCACTCACGACATCCACGCCAAGCTTGAGATTACTCATGGGACCTAGGCAAACTGACAACTTGATTGAAGCAAGAACCACTAACTGCAGCAAGCAGAAATTTCCAAATACAACTTAGACCTGTGAGGGATTAAAAAACCAGTAAAAAATGATGGCCTTAGTAATGAGAATAAAATTGCGGAAAAGATAAAGGGAAAAAAAAGAACATCAAAGGAAAGAGTAGGAGGAACGACTTTCACTCGAAAGAAGCATTGTTTCATAAACAAGCAGTAAATCAATCAGCCAACAAAAATCATGACGTTCACTTCACAAGTCTCAAAAACCTTGGCTTACTCCTCTAATCAAAGCAACTGAATACAAAAGGACTCCGTGAATTGGTGAGATAGACAAACTTTTTTCTCTATTAGAGGATAAAAATTGTGACAGAAAGAAGAGTACAGTAACTTAATAGGCAGGCATGAGATGCACAGAAAGCCAAACTTTTCAATCAAACACAAAGCAAGGTAAAAGAAAAGTCATAAGCATCGAATCAGAAAGCAAATGAAATATGAATTTGCTTCATATGGTCGTGGCTTGATTCTCCATTTAAACTTGCTTCTTACTTGTCCAATTCAAACAAAAACATCAAAAAAAAAAGGGGAAAAATAAAGTGAAAGATCGAAAAGGCATGTGTTTTGCTAATTATTTGAATGAGGGAAAGAAGAGCATATTCAATTCAGATTCCGAAACTCATCAAGCATCCAGGTTCCTCCCATAATCTTTCTGGGAAACCAAAAAGGAAAGGCAATAAGAATATTTGGTATCTTCAATCAGCCACGAATGAGTTTTACAAATTTCGCCCTCAGTTTTCTCTGACGAAAAAAAACAGAGCATGAACTTTATCACCGTATATTCACCCATAATTTCAGCTAACTTAAACGGAGCAAAGACACTGCTTCCTCGTATCCGATAAAAAAGTGCTTCCAAAACAAGTTGCCTCATACAAGATGAGGTCAACGATGCTCATGATCTACAGAGTCTCTTCCTTTTAAAGGTCCAGACAGCATGAAATAAGCACCAAAAGCCAGACAAAAAGAAGAGATTTTTATCCGTGGAAACGATCACAAATCTGAAGAATTACAAAAGGCAAAGCAAGAACAAGGCGCAAAGCCACAACTTTTCGAAAGTTGTTAACCTCGACCATCATAAAACGATCATCAGAAGAAGACCCAGATGGACACAAGCCGAGCATCGGCACAATATCGAATAATCAACGAGGACCCAGATGAAAATTCCCATTAAACAAGCGGAAACTGACCTTTCTCAAAGGTTAAGAGCCTGACAAGTGTGAAACCACGCGCTCACGAGAGCCAAAACAAGCAAAGCCCGCGATGTTTGCAAAGCGCGACCGACTCCTCCGACGCCCGCAAAGACTTATACGAGCGTCGTGACTCGAAAAAACGTTTCCGCGATGGTTCGCAGAAGGAGGGCGGGGGGAGGGAGAGAGAGAGAGAGACGAAGCAGGGTCGTCGAAAACGAGTCTCAAATGGAGGAGGAGGAGGAAGAAGAAGAAGAACGAAGTCGTCGTCGTCGTCGTCCCGTCTGTTCTTCCGTCAGCTTCTTCCGTTTGTTGTTTTCATATGCGACGAATATCAGTTTGCGTATTGGACCGTAGTTCACAAGACGCGCCAAAGGCACCATTTCTCCCCCGATATTTTTTGTGTTTTGATTATTTTCTCACTTCGATAATTTCTACCAAAGAACATTATAGTAAATTACTTAATAGTTCTTTTTTTTTTTTATCGTTTATTAGGTGCGTGCCCAATCGGAAAGTCCATTCCGTGAAAATCGGGAGGCGATTTTAATTTCCCAAGGACGAGGGACATTGTGTCGATTTTAAGTACCTTTTCATAGATTTCGAAATTTGGGTGTTGAAAAATTGGACTAAATTTTAATTTGATTTCAGCTCTAAAACTCTAAAGAAAAAGTCGTGCACTGAAAGCCAGATAAAAAAAATTGCAATGGCATGGCGGTCCATTTTGTAAGTTTTCTCAGATGAATTGCATTTGGCTTTGATGATAAGCGAGGGTCAATCATTGAATGCGTGGACCCCGTTCGAGGGATGGTTTGTACATTGCGGGGTTGCAAAGCTTTTCTATTATTTGTATCATTACTTAGGAAAAATAACATAAATGGTCCTTGAATTATTGGTAAACGTTCAATGTAATCATTTCATCTGCTCAAACGACCGATTCTACGTCATTTGATGACATGGATTATTATATACTGGATCAGAGTACTAAAAATGACGAGTCAACATGTCTATCTTTTTATCCATCGGTATTTCGTGTCGTGGATTACATATACTGATTTGGGTGACGTGTCTGACTAGGATTCGACCTAACTTGAAGAAAATATTGCTAATTTCGATTTGTTATCCTAATCTTGTATTTTTCTTCCTCTACAGTCAATGTGACTTTATAACTTTTCTCAGATAAATTGCATTTGGCACTGACCATAAGGGAGTGTCGATCAATGAATGCATGTACCGCAATCCACGGATAGTTGTGTACATTGTAAGGTCGAAAAACTTTCAATTATTATACTATTACTCAAGAAAATCGACACAAATGGCTCCCGAATTTTTGATAAATATCTAATGTAGTCCTTTCATTTAATTAAACGATAAATTAGACGTTATTTAATAACATTGATTTTTTCAAAATGTCCATCTACTTAAGAAATAGACACAGAAAATAAGAGTGTTAACATGTCAGTCGACATTTGATGACATAAACTATATGTCCTAATTTGGGATAACTATCTTACTCAGATAATCAACATTGGACTTTTTTTTTGTTGTCTGCCATTTAAACACAACAGATTAAAAACCACATTAGCAAACTCCATTAACTTGAGACTAGATTGAATATTTACCAATAACTCAAAGACTATATCGAATAAATTAAAAATTCAGGGACGATATTGCACGTTAGACCAAAGTAACGCCTCTTCTCTTCAAATTTATCCACCCCTGGAATCTAAATCACAAAAGACAAGAATGCAAACACATATTACCATACAAAAAATAAACATTCTTTGGGATGGATAAGTTGGGTGGTGGGTCTCATTAGAGTTTGACTTCTCTTGAAGAGCATATATATTGCTAAAAACTCATATCGTGTCACCATAAACTAAAAAAAAATTTATTTTGCTTAGCAAGAAAACATCATTTCGAAATCATAATGAGAAACGAGACTTTGTAACTTTTTTCCTAAGATAAATTGCATTTGGCATTGATCCATCAATCAATTCACGTGTGGAGCCCATTCCACGGGATCGTTCTGTGGTCGGAAAACGTTCAATGAATCGTACTACCTTCTCCCTCATCTTTCACATGCCTATCGTTCTGTACTTGTCCAACCTCCAGCAGCAGGACCACTCACGTCAGGTCGAAGAAGACAGGAAGAGCTTTCCCTTAATTAAATTCCTAATTAGCAAAGCTTTGAACTTTCCCTTAATTAAATTCCTAATTAGCAAAGCTTTAGCACAAGAAGATAAGTTCGCCACCTGTAAAGAATGTCTCCATTGCCTTTTTTTTAATCTGCATAATGATCGTAAAATATCATGTGATCCGCATGAGAGTGCCAACCGCGCGTTAAAAAGGCAGCATAGGTCGAAAGATGTGATAAGATTATTATAATCTTGTTCCCATTTATTTTCATTGATAAAGAGGCGTCCCGAGCTTTTCGAGCCCACAACTAATCCTTACGAAATTTGGGAAAAGGATATATTCACTCAAAGTACTAAAACTCGTTAGGAAAGTATAATTGAGTCCTAAAACTTATAAAATATACAATTAAATCATAAAACTTGTCAAATTGGCACAATTGAGTCCTTTCATTAATTCAGCCCAACTTGGCCAACGGAAAATACTGACGTGACTTTTTTTTAAAATATATTCTCTCTCCAATGTAATGATGACAATTTTAGCTACGTCAGCATATTTCATTAGTCAAGTTGGACGGAGTTAACGGAAGGACTCGATTGAATTTTTTGCAAGTTGTAGGATTTAATTACACTTTTGTGATAAGTTTTAGAACTTCCAGTACAGATATCCTTATTCTGAATATAGATATGCTCGGTTCCGGAACATGATACGCTCACTATTGATATTTCAAAAGCGAGATTTCTACTATCACTGAAAACAAAAACTTCTGTTTCTCTCAAAATTAACCCTAATTATATCCCGAAGCAAACGTGCCGACTTTGACTCTTGAAGAGGAGGGTCGTCATTGGCGTGAACCTCATTTGCATATTATTAATCGAAGAATGCTTAGCTCTTAATCAAGCGATTTAGGGTTTCTGGGCATGTTCCTCTGGGATTGACCCCAAAGAACCAAGAACATAGGTCAGCATCGTCATCTTTCACACACACGGAACTTGCCAACAGATAAATTAATAAACAACTTACCAACAGATTGGTGAACACTGAACACGTTCACTCATGTTATGTATATTCTATAATTCACGAAAGATGAGACGTGTTTTTCACACAGAAAGCTATTGTGACGGTCTTCAAAACCGGAGAGGAACATGGATTCTACCTACTTGCACAAGTAACGATGGCGGATAAGATTTCTTTCTTATTTTAGGTATTGATCTTCTTTACTTATGCAGGGAGAATACCAATGCTATTGGCACACCTGATTTTATCTTCATTTAAAAAAAAGGAGTAGTTTACTGGCAAATAATATGTTCATCTTGTGCGTTGTTAAAACTTGTAATGCACTGGTAGCGAGTCACCAAATCCTAGCTGATTGCATACAGCACAATGGGCAAGTTCATGTCACATAGGGTTTACGGAGAATTATGCCATCAATTCTAAATCCGGCTGTTTGGATGTCAATTCAGTCTTAAACATTTCGATTTTTTCAATTTATTCCTAAATCTTTATGCGAAATTCCAATATAGTCCCTTCACACCGCCACGTTAGCAATTTCCGACGAAAATTAGTTAGAAGGATTACATTGAAATTTCGCAAATAATTAGAATTAAATTAGCAAAATTAAAAAGTTTATGACTGGATTTGTGTTTATATAATAAGTTTAAGATTGATTGGATAATTTTTCATGTGGTTTAAATGATTTTCGCGAATTAAGGGCACAATTATGTTCACTTTTTGAAGGTATCAACTAAACGATCCAAAGAGGATATTATAATCAAAGACCAGAAAGTTGTCTCTCTTGACGGTTCAATTGTCGTGGGATACCTTCTATCTTACTTTGAAATGGTCAAATTGTACTTAAGAATATACCCAAAAGTCTAAAGTCTATGCCATGTTATCGCCAAACGACGAGATATTATATTAAGCGACCCCTTTTGGGTGGACAGGGTTTGTCTGAACGAGAGAAGTTATCGGACAGGTAGAAAATTACTGTTTCGTGCTTAAAAATTAAGATTTTCTTCCATACCCATAAAGTTTAGTAAGTGTCAAAGAATTAATACTCATTCGCTTTACTTTAGGTTGATAATTGCCAAAAAAGATAGTTGATAAACTCAAAGAGTTAGTAAGTTACACAAGTAATTGTAACTCAATATAAAATTTAGGAAGAAACTCAAATGAAAGTTGGTAAAGCAAATCAGTTGATAACTTAATGAGAGAAAAATCGATTAGTCGTACGAAATAAAAATCGGTATAATCATATAAAAGTTGATGAATTTATGGTATCCGTAAGGAAAACAAACCGAAATTGGTAAACAAAATTGCTAGAGTAAAAAAAGTCAAACAAAAGTCGGTAAGCAACTTAAATAGGAGAAAATTTACAAACCCCTCGATAAAGAATTGGTAATTTCGTAAGCGTTGGCAAGAAAAATAAATAAATGTCAGTAGAAATCACGAGAAGTCGGTAATTTACAAATAGTAACAAAGAGTCGATAATTTCATGAAAGTACCGATAAGATATCAATAAATTATTGAAAATGAAGTGATTGATAGTTTTTTTGTACGAACATTTTCTAAACACTTGTAACCAGGGGTACTGGTTGGCACGTCGGTTACAAAACACTGTGCAAGGCACAGGTCAACCAGTAAGAAGTCGGAGCTTCCCATTTTGTCACCCCAGGCGCAGGAGATTACTATATCTGCTTACCCGACGGTAACCAGCCGAAGCTAACGTGGAGTTTATCTCCCCCATTCAAAAGGTCCATAAATTCCCTCTAAATCTTTTTCTTCCCGAGAGAGAGGGAATATGGAGAGAACTTACAGGAAAATCCATTCACTGTACTGGAAAATTCATTCTCCTATCTCCTTTCGAGCCTTTTAAAGTCTTGATTGGGACCACAACACTTACTCACTATTTAGAAGTCTACTCACACGAAAAATAAGCACTCTGTCTGAAGACAGAACGGTGGAATCGTCCATTCAGCTTAACAAAAATCGTTCGCCCTTCGGTGGAGCTCACATCGCCAGCTTAAACCATCGGCAATGTTATCGATTTAGTCATGAATATAATATGC